CATTTCTGAAAAGATAAAATAATAATAATAAATATCTACATAAAAATGTCCCTTTATACAAGTTTGATTGAAAAACCAACAGTTCTTTGTTAAGAGTTTTTCTTCATTTATATTTTATTTTCTATATTTTGGATCATTTTATTAGCTTCCAGTACATATTTAATCTTTTAGCATTCAATTAGCTCAAACCTGCCCAATAAATATCAGCTCTCAAAATCTCATTGTTTAAGGTCATAATCTCACTGTTTGTGTGACTTTCTGTGTTATTTCTGATGATATTGTCATATATTATGGCAGAGTATACATAAGGCATGTTACAGTTGGTTGAACATTAAGGGCAGATATTTACAGGGTGAGGTGAATGCTAAAAGCATAAATATAGATTATTTGGCAATGTTTAACCTTAATACCTGCCAAGAAAACAGTGGGTCAATCAGTAATGTTTAACCTTCTTGCTTGCAAAAAAAATGCTGTGTGAAAAGTATGGTTATTCCCTTGACATTGCTATTACTGTATACACTTTTGACTCCCTCAGCAATATTTATTTACAAGATTATAAAAGCATGTGAATCAAATACAATGCGATATTTATTATTTAGCTTTTATAAAGTTTTATCATTTATAAAGATTTACTATTTACCATTTTATAAAGAAATTTGAAAAGAAATATTTTTATTAAAAGATTATAAAAAAATTATTAAAATATATAAGAGGAAAAGGCTTTCAACTTAATTTAGTGAATTTATGTGGCAAGAACAAATGCCTGAAAAATATAATAATTATGGTTACTCGTTAAGTGTTTATTTAAATTTTCTTGTTCACAGGCATTTTCCTAATTGCTGAATAAAAAAATTTCTTTATCAAATGATAAATAATAAATATTTTATTATAGTTGGTTTATATAGTTTTATAATCTTGTAAATATAAAATTATTCTTATAAATAAGCAATCTAATAAATAGTGTTCAATATATTTGTTGTCAATTTTCAAGAATAAAGAAAATGTAAATTCATTTTCATGTACATTTCTTTTTTATGTTATGTTGCTTTATTTCTGCATGTTTGTTTTTTCATTATATGTGTTTTTCATTTTTTATTCATACATGTTTTTTTTTACTTTTTTATTCATACATGTTTGCTTTTTCATTTTTTCATTTATTTATACATGTTTGAGTTTTGATTTTTTTTATTTATACATGTTTGAGTTTTGATTTTTTTATTTATACATGTTTGAGTTTTGATTTTTTTATTTATACATGCTTGATTTTTGATTTTTTTTATTCATACATGCTTGATTCTTGATTTTTTTATTCATACATGTTTGATTCTTGATTTTTTTTATTCATACATGTTTGATTCTTGATTTTTTTTATTCATACATGTTTGATTTTTGATTTTTTTTATTCATACATGTTTGATTTTTGATTTTTTTTATTCATACATGTTTGTTTTCTATTTTTTTATTGAAATATATTAAGTATGTTCCTAAATTTTATAACATTTTATCGATATTATGTTATTTGTTTTTAACCTTAACAATTCCAATATTTATGGTTTGTTTATGTGATATAGTAACTTTGTTCTATTGGTGAGTATTTGTTGGATTTGTGTCTTTTCATTATGTTGGTTGGTGATACGTGATTTAATTGAGCTAAAGTGACATAGCAACCCTCCTCCACGAAAAAAAAAAAATCTTCAACATTGACTAACACCAGAAATTGGCCAATTTATATTTAAATGTGTACTGGAAATCAAGAAAATGATCCAAAATATAGAAAAATTAAAAATTTTGTTGACCTTTAACTAAACTTGTATAAATGAAAAGTCACTGCACAAATTCACCCAAAAATATATTTCTATGTACGCAAATATATATTAAGACATACTGGCTTGACCCTAAAAGTTAGTTTTTTTCTTGTTACAAGATGTTTGTTTTAACTAACTTACTAATTTACTGTATCTTGTCAGCTGTTATGGAAGTCTGTATTTTATCCAACATACTCTAAAACTCTAAGCTAAGCATAAAAAATCCATTGGTTATGTTAGTCAATTTGATATACAACTTCCATTTTAGATGTTTTTACATTTACAATGTTTCAGCTGCTGTGCTCCCCTTCTTCAGGTTTTTGCTGCATTCAGTCTTTGAAATATTACTTTTGATCATTCCACCCATTTTTTTTTAAATTGATATCACCCCATGCAAGGCAGTAAAGCCACTAAAGGGGGTGACAGGGTGTGAAAGAATTAGGAACAGAAACAATAATAATGAGTGGTAAGAGGAAAGAGTAATCAGGAGGACAATAGCAATTGACATTACATTTAAAGTTTTGCAGATTAAAGTTGGTTGAAAAGCATGGAGCTAGAAGGCAGTTCCACAAGTGAAAAATGCAAGAAAAGAAACTTATATTATTATAAAAACTTTTTTATTTATTATTGCAAAATAAGCTGAACTGATATCACAATGCCAAACTAAAAGTAAAAGGGACAAAATAGTTGAAGTTTTTAACTATTAAAATATAATGACTAGCACATACAGCAGAAGCATGTAATCCAAATGTAACAGACTGTTTATTGATATCATTTATAACAGTCTTAAGAAACAATATTTTAAGAATCCATCATTCTGAATTCTTATCATTTGGATTACCCAGAAGCCAATGTGTATTTCTGTGATATCTCTAATTTTCTCTCCATATTTAATTAGTCAGAATGAACAGAAATGGCATTGGAAAGACTGTATAGAAGAAAAAAAACAAACCAGAATTCACTGAAATGTTGTGAATATTAAAAACAGTCAAAGTAAGGACACCAGTCTAAATCAAACTGCATACAATAAAAATCCCTGGTCTGAAAATTTTTAATTCCAGAAGTAAAAAAAACAAATAAAATTAATGTTGTTTTGAAAAACATGGGGAAAACATTGTAAAGTGGAGAATTTGCAATATTGTGAAAAACAGAATATCATGGGCCAAGTGAAATGAAGCACAGTTAATTTTACCAAAGACAGGTCTTTGTTCAAAGAAAGAAAGTGATGTTTGTATATCAAACTATACCTAAATCTATCTATCTATATATGTGTGCGTGTATGTATATATATATATATATATATATACTTCACTTCTAAAGTTTGAAGCAACCCCCAGAATTAGCATAGGAGGAACTTGACAGAAGAGTGAAGAAAAAATATCAAAAAGAGTTATTGAAAAATAATGGAATCAATTACCAAATTTTAAGAAAAAAACTAAAGAAAACTTTAAACTTTTGGAACAATTGCCAAAAATTTGTGCTGCTGTAATCAAGGCTAAAGGAGGATCTTTTGATGAGAGCAAAATTTAATCATAAAATGCTTTTTTCTTTGTCATAATAAAAATCATGTCTCACTTTTTTAAAAACATTTATAAAAATTTTCTCTTATTTAAAGTACAAAACGACTACTTTACAGATAAATTTTAAAAATTACCAGGAGCAACCTCAAACTTTTGAACTGCAGTATATAAGTATATATATATATATATATATATATATATATATATATATATATAAGAAACACACACAGAAGGATAATAAGAAAAATAAACTATCAATTGCTGTTATCTCCACACGAGTGTACAGTGCGATTACTGGAGGGTCCATCTACAAAACTCTAGTTGGCATGCTGAGAATAACATCAATAAATGGACATATATATTTACATATGATCTATTCCTGATACTGAGCACTTTAACCCATAAATATATCATTCCTTAATATTATATTTTTATCATATATGCGCACACAAAATATATAAAAACAAGTATATAATTTATATGATAAGTATATACACAAATAAATTACGCCTTTTGAAAAGTTATTTAGTGCTATGAATTGTGGTATAGACCAACCTTCTTCAAGTAAACTAAGATAGTCTACTTTTATATTCTTGAAAAGGTCCTCTGGACTAGTCATTTCATAAAATCTATATTTTTTTCACCTCATCTTATGTAAAGATTACCTTATACACGGAAATATATGGTAATTATTAACAATTAATTTTATTTTATACATAATATATTTAATTAACTGTTCATAAAAATAACTAGTATATTGGTTAAAAAAAAAACAAACATATTTCTTATAGCTTTTAAAAAAATCCTTATTGAAAAATTAATTACTGTCTAAAACAGTACAAATATGCATTAAAAGGATTATCCATAAACTTATAATTTTGTTTTGAATGAATTACAAGCAGACTTAAGGCCAAAATTTGTTTCTAACTTTTGTAATAGAAACTGCAAGCATTCATAATTCTTATTGCAAAATTTGATTCCAACTTTTGTAATAGAAACTGCAAGCGTTCATAATTCTTATTGCAATCTGTGCTACTTATAACTCTTTCCACACTATTTGTATTATATATTATATTTTTTGTTTTATTGCTAATTTTCTATTTCTTTTTCAGTAAAATTTGTTGGCTTCATATTAAATTGATAAGAAAATGGAAACTTAAGTTAGTAAGCAGCATTCATACAGAAATCAAAAACTGCATAAAAAATGCAATTATGAAAATCTATACTATAGGCCAAAAGTTTGAGGCCATTCTCTGGATTTTGAAGATTCACTTAAAAATTTAATGTCTTTTTCAAAACTAATTTACGAGTTCATTTTGGGTCAGAGACTTTCTCTTCCTAAAGAGTTTTATAATGTTTTTAATAATGAAATTAAATTATTACTTCATAAAGTTTCCTTAAAATTTTCTCTCTTTTTGCCTCTCAACCTTGGTAGCTAATGGTAATCTTAGGGTTGGTGGATTTTAAATATTAATTAACACCCTGTCTAAAAAATTACATGTCATGCCCTAATGGGTTAAATAGTCCCAGCATCCTAGCTTAGTAGGAGTTAATTAACTCAAAGAAGGCATGAAACTTACTAATTATTAAATCCAGAGGGTGACCCCCAAATATTTAGACTGATAGTGATATGTTATTGGTAATAAGGCTTTGATAAAATGAACATTAGCAATACCTGCTGTTCCATTTGCTTCACCTTCCTCCATCCATCGTTGCCTTTCACCAAGAAGATGATCAGAATCCAAATCAACTGTGCGTGTAGGATAAGTGATGCCATCACCCATACTAAAAAGAAATTGAAAATCTTTGCAATTAACAAAAGATATATTATTTCTTAGCTTCAAACTGGGACAGTTCACAATTGTTATTTTTTTAATAATACCCTTGTATTTTCATGACCATAAGCTTTTGTGAAAACATACACACACACACAAAAAGGATATGGTTAACTTTTCCTAGAACAAGCAATATAGTAAGTGTACACACGTGTGCAAAACACAGAAATAGAAAGTTTAAAATCATCACAGTAAAAACTGCAAAAAAAGAGTTTTACATACACTTTGGAAGCATGCAGTGGAGAGAATTGAAAAAGGAAAAGGGTTCAAATAAATCAATTCAAAATACTGAAAAATGAACGATTTGTTTTTTTTTTCATATGAGGTAATTTTACTGATTGTCAAAAACATTTACAAATCATTAATATATAATGCTTGTAAGAACATTTTTAAGAACAAAACAACCATTGTAAATAGTAGTTGGATTTATAGGGACAATTGACAGTACTTTCATAGGGACATGTGAGCATTTCACTATTTAGCTTTTAATATTACAATAAACTACAAATTAGTAATAACTTCATTCTATAGTTTATAATTTTTAAAAGCTCTGGACCAACATTGTGACAATACAATAGTTTGTATGACATGCTGCAAAAACATACTTAACTTGATATGACAATACTCAAAAATTATTTTGCACAAATTTAGCGAAGAGAGTCTGAATTTTCTAATTGTGTAATTTTGACTACAGTAGAGAGGAAAATGAAAAAGAAGTAGGATTAATACTAGATAAAGACATGAAGAAATGAACAGTGCCACAACTCAATACAAATTGCAAGAAATTACCATAATTATAGGAAACCTGAATTCTAAAGTCAGAAAGGAATGAGATAGTGAAATAATTGGCAATTTTGAACCTCCATAACAAATGTGGAAAAAGATTGGTTCAATGTTGCACAGTAAAAATCAAATAGTAACCAACACCTAGTTTCAAGAACACTAGCGATGCTTATGGGCATGAAGAAGTACAGGTAATAGTAATACTAGTTGTTTCTTTATAACATTCAACATTCATTGGCCAAACTGCTTGTACTACTTTCAGTTGAAATCTATAAATCTTTCTCTTAAAATATTTTTTTCAAGAAAACAGGTTTCTGAAGTTCACTAGTTGTTATCACTCTTTCCAGTATTAATGGAGGCTTACTTCTTAACCTTTTGTTTGAAGTACTGTGGAATGTCAACATCTTCATTATGTTATTATTTTCTGTTGAGTTACATGCAATATCCATTTGAGTTGAAAGTCCTAAGTAATCAGATTGGTTGTATGACAACAAAATTTTCAGAAATGTTGTTTTAGGTGAGATAGCAAAAAACTACAGCTATAAAGAAGACGAAAAAGAATGAGCTTGTGTAAATGTTTGGTAGAAGAAAGGACAAGAAATTGTGGAGAGCTATGAACTCCAGAGTCTTGAAAGGACATCGCATATAGAAAAAGAAGAGACTTGATTGGTAGAAGAGGGCTTAGCAAAAGCATAAACTTTACTAAAAGCAACAAAGCAGTGGAAATTGTGGAGAGACATGAATGCATAAATGGTTAGCAGAAGAAGGTTTAGGAGAGATAAGAAAAAGACAAAATTTATTAAGAGCTACAAAGGACAGGAAATTGTGGAGAGCCATGATCGCATACGTCCTGAAAAGAACATGGCACATAGAAGAAGAAGAATAAGCTTGAGTAAATGGTTGACAGAACAAGGCTTAGTAGAGATAACAAAAAGACAACATTTATTAAGATAACAGATGAAACCATGATCAACAATGTCCTGAAGGGACTTGGCACACAGAAGACAAAGAATGAGCTAGTGTAAATGTTTGGTAGAACAGGAATTAGGAGAGATAATGCTCATGGTACATGATAATAGTATCCAACATTTGTCTTTTCATTTTGAAAGCCAAGAGAACACATTATTTTTAGATCTTTTCATAAAAGAAACAAGAAATCAGAATGCTCACCTTAACAGTTTTAGATATTTACTATATAAATGACTAGCTGCTTGTATGCAAGTATGCCAACTAGCCAATCCCTGTTGCAGACGCCTGCTCAGACACATTTGTGTTTGTTCAAAACCAACAATCCAGCTTTGATTTATACTGCAACTATGTTGATTGACTTTAGTTACAGTTTTTGGGAGGAAGTTCAATGTCTGCTGTGATCAACAGTTTGGACAACACCTGCAGTTCATGATGACTTGTGAGTTCATGCTAATACAATCATTGTTGGCTCCAAAACTGGGTCACATGGTTGGAATGCGAACATTTTAACCACTCGTCCACATGCACATAACTATATACTGTATAGTTAGCCACTCATATTCGATGATACCAGTCTACTAGGGTGGCTAGCCAATCCCTATTGCAGACACTTGCTCAAGCAAATTTATGTTTACTGAACACCCACAGAACCCACTTGTGGTTTATACTGCAACTATGCTGAGCAGACCTTAGTTACAGTTTCTTGGAAAGAACTTGTTATCTAGCATGATCAACAATTTGAACAAGGCTAGCACACTCAAACCCTCGGCCACGATGACTTGTGACTTTGTGCTAGCATCAAGGGTTTCGTATATCTAATTACACTCACAAGGCTTGGGTCAACCTGCGGAATGGTTTTCAGCCATTTCCCAAAGGTGCAGCATGCTGTGATCGACCCCTCTAGTTTGATAACATCAGGAACTCTACTTCCTGACAAATCAAGTTTTATTTAGTTTTCAAAAATCATAAGTGACCAATTAGAATTTTCCAAATTTTATAATTTATGACCAAAATATTGTGTTTCTCACAGGGTCTTCTTTCAGATAAGCAATATAGCTTTTGCTTCACTAGGTCAACTGCTGATATGTCAACAATTATTGTTGAAAGAGTCATTCAAGCTTTAGATAAGAATGGTGAAGCTTGGGCTGTTGCTTTGGATATCTCAAAGGCATTTGACAGGATTTGGAATGCTGGCCTTCCTTACAAGTTGAAAGGTTATAATATCTCTGGGCAAATTTTTGTACTGATTCAGTTTTTCTTGTCAAATCATGAAATTAAAGTTGTCTTGAATGGCCACTCTTCTAGATCATTTTGCATTAATGCAGGTGTTCTCTATGGCTCTATCCTTGGACCTACATTGTTCCTAATTTTCATAAATGACCTTCCTGATGTCATCAGTTTTCAGGTCAGTATCTATGCTGATGACATAACTATTTACTCTTGCCTTAATAATGAGTCTGATCAATTCAATAAGGTTAGATTGGAAGTTACAAAAAAGAAAAAAAAAGCTACAGTCTTTTGTTAAATGGGAAAGGAATGGCTTGTAAATTTTAATGACTCCAAAATGAAACTGCTGCCTTTTAATTATCTGAGAGAACTGTTTTTACATTCCTTTACCATGGCTGATGCTAACCTCCAGATGAGTGACTCATTGCACCTTCTTGGATTAACATTTTCCACTGACATGACGTGGAAAGATTATATTGAATCTATTGCTTCGTCTGCATCTAAGAAAATTGGTTTACTATCTTGTGCTGGACACTTTTTCTCACCAGACTCTATCTTGCATATATTATAAGTCTACCATTTGTCCTTGCTTTGAATATTGCTGACACATCTGGTCTGATGCTCATGCTACATATTTAGAGATTCTTGATAAAATCCAAAGAATCTGCAGTGTTTTAGGTTCTCATCTGGCATCTTGGCTTTATAGTACCTTTCCCACTGCTGTAGCTTGGCTTACCTGTACCTTTTCTATAAATGCTTTCATGGTAATTGTTTTGATAAATTTTCCTCTATGGTACTAAGACATTATGAATTTAAATTCAGTACTAGATTGGCAGCAAGGTCTCATCATTTTACTGTTGAAATGGCTAGATGGAACCATAAGTTTTATGCTAGTGGTTTCTTTTCTCACACTTCTTGCTTGTGGAATTCTCTTTCAGCTTCTTGCTTCCAATTCAACTTTGATCTTTAAAAATTTAAATGTAATGTCAATTGTTATATACTGTCTTCTTAATTATTGTTCTTTTATTGTCCTCTCTCCTTAATAGTAGTTTTTTTTTTCTCATATTCTCTTACACTCAGTAAGAATTTGCATCTTAGTGGCTTTATTGCTTTCTCTGTCTGGGTATCAAGTGCACTACTTTAGCTGAATCTTCATTCACACATCATAAGGAACAAGCAAAAATTATTATTCAGTGAGATTTGCATTTATATTTGACTGAAACACACATGGAAATGGTATGTTACAAATAACAACTGAAGATTGCCTCCAATGTGAAACCATTAGCTATTATTTTCCAACAGTTTTATTGTATTCTTAATATTTACAATATATGTGTGTGTAAATGACTAATATGAAATATTTGAACTAAGTTTCTTTGAATATATGGTCATTAGCACTAGAGGCCATCATCAGTGATGTTCTAAATTGGGTCATTGGGCAGTTTCGGGTCTTTCAAACATCATACTCCCCTCACCAAGTCGCCCCCTGCCCATCAGAGCTGATCAGTCTCTGATGCCCCCCCCATTTAAATTAACAGCCTGCAGACACTGACTTATATTAGGCAAACCCTATCCCTCTGTCATACATTTGATTGGAAGTTGACCAACAACCAATTGCAATGGTGTGAGCTCTATTTAAGTTGTTTACGAGGGATTTTTTACTTTTTCTTTTTTTATGTGGATACTCATCGGATACTTGGAAGGTAATTATGTGTTTTCTGGTTATTTAAGGATATAAGATGGAATATGTGAAAAGAAGCTGGACATTTGCATTCTTTTGCTTCTTTCTTGAAATTTTGTTTCCCCTGAGCATTATCAAAATAACTGACAAAAATCTAAAGAAAGAAAAACTTGTTACCATGGCAAACTGTTATGCTTAAAAAAGACTCATATTTAATTTGTAAAAATTTAACAATAACATTTAAAAATAAAAACTTGTAAACAAATCAATGAGATTTGTACATGTTTAAT